TCAACAACAACAACATCAACAACAGCATCAACAACATCAACAACAGCAATAAATACAACAGCAATAACATCAAAGTACTAGTAGTAATGATAAATGCTTTAGGATGATGATGATGATAAAATAGCACTTAAATAATAATAAAGAAATAATAAAAATTATATTATTAAAATGTTAACAAAAAATTTATATATATATAAATCGAGAGAGAGAAAAGAGAGAAAGAGAGAGAAAAAGAAAGAGAGAGAGAGAGAGAGAGAGAGAGAGAGAGAGTGAGAAAAAAGTTGTTTTTTTATAGTGTAATGGTCGGGACTCCTGGATCTGTTGTTTGTTGCTGTAACAACAAAATCAGTGAACAGCAAACCAACTGGCCAACCAATCAATCAACCAATTATTTTTTAATCAACCAACCAATCAAACAATTAACCAATCAATAAACCGATCAATTAATCAGCCAACCAATCAACTAACCAATTAATCAACTAACCAACCAATTAATACTGAACGATGTGAAATTAAAGGGCGTTTCAATTTCTCCAACGGTCGTAAATCAGTCCAAATATGCTTAAAAATTAAAAATAGCAATAATTAAAAATTAGAATAACGTGTTTAAAAATAACAGTCAAAAACGTTTTATTATTGTTGTTATTATTATTATTACTATTATGTATATTATTGTTTTTTGTATCACTTAGAGGCGAACAGTTTTTCTTCTTATTGTTGCTACCATTGTTAATATGGCTTCAGTCAGTAAGCTATTGTATGTATGTATGTATGTTATGTATGTATGTATGTATGTATGTATGTATGTATGTATGTATGTATGTATGTATGTATGTATTTATGTATGTATATATGTATGTATGTATATATGTATGTATGTATGTATGTATGTATGTATGTATGTATGTATGTATGTATGTATGTATTTATGTATGTATATATGTATGTATGTATGTATGTATGTATGTATGTATGTATGTATGTATGTATATATATATGTATATGTATACTATATATTGTATGTATGTATATATATATATATATATATACTATATATTGTATGTATGTATGTATGTTTGTTTGTATTGCTCATCCATTTTCACAATGGAAAAGAATTTATGCATGACTGCCTTTCGGCAGCTCACAAAATGTTTATAAAGAGATAATGGTTCGCTACACACCTAATCGTTGGCAGCATTTTTGAGTTCTCTTCAAGTTTTTTTTCTCTCCAAGGTATTTCGGTTGTGTAGCGATTTCGACGAGTTGTGAGTTTTTGAGTTTGAGTTGATTTCAAAAGTTTAAATTCAAGTTTATTTTGTCAAGTTTCGTCTGGAAGATACGAAGTTATCCAATCAACATGAACAAGATCATCATCTCAGCTCTTCTGATTGGTATGTCGGTTTTTTCATATTATTATGTTATAGTTCTTGTTCAACTCTTTCATTTATTCAGTTGGTAAATTTATGTCGATAGATAATATGAATGAGGCAATGTTCAATTCATCTCAATTCATCTCACCACACAACTTTCACAATCTTCTCAACCCGTCCACAAATCAACCGGTTTTCTCTCCTATAATCAATGAAAAATTCTCAATTGAAAAGCGCGCTTGAAACATTTAACCCGATCTGCAATGGATATCAAATAGGAGAATATATATATATATATTGACAAATAAAACCAAAATATTAATAAAAAAAAAGTCGAAATTATAATTGTAGCTTAATTTTTTATTAATAATTTCGTTAAAATCATTTTTCTCATGCAGTCATTGTCGCGGCGTCATCAACCACCGCCGCTACTTCTACCACAACAACGGTACCTACTCCGACTACAGCTGGAGCAGCTGCTACCACAGCTGCTCCAGCTGCTACCACAGCTGGAGCAGCTGCTACCACAGCTGGAGCAGCTGCTACCACATCATCCAAAATGACTAACGGAGTCGACAATGTGAAAGTCAGTTTTCATTTTAGTTTGATTTATTTTTTTTCTTGTGTTTTGCCAATTATTTCATAATTGTTGTAATAATTCATTAAATTAAAATGTTCATATTATCTGTCCGAATGGTGTTCGTTGTGGTGCAGATGAATGAATATATGGATCTTTAGCTAGCTGTCTTCTATGTTTAATTTTGCAGAATTCAATCATTAAACTCTAGTGTTTTGATCGATCAAATAATAATATTTCATTTTTTAATAATTACATTAGTGACTATCTTGTATTATTTTGATATATTTACGCTATAATTTTGTTTAATTTGTTTAAAAAATTTGATTTTAGGTGTCAATTGTTTTGTTCGGAACTGTTGTCCTGGCCGGTTTGATGCTCTGAACAAACATTCAACAAACATTTTTATAAATTAATTTATAAAAATTAATGTTAAAAATATTAATTAATTAATTGATTAATTAATTAATTGATTAATTAATTAATTAATAATTAATTTTGTGTTTTTAACTTTTATAAACTCATCTTCTGTTAAAACTGCTTAATTTTGTTA